ATTGATTTGATATTCCCGCGTGTGAAGATCGAAAGGGGTCTGTAGTTTATTCGTGTATATGTTTGTGGCGTGTGCTTTGTGTAACATGAGATGTTAAGTATATGTTGTATCATGATGGTGTGGAAGTGTAACAAGAGTTCATATTTGAAGGAAAATTGTATTGGTTCAGCTTGAAAGCTTAAAACAAAAAAAAAAGTAAGTATAAAGGTTCTCGTCTTGTTACAAAAAAAAAAAAAAGTTCTCGTCTAATAATTGATAGTATGTATAGCCTAGAAACTGAAGTGAATGTGAGCGAAAGGCAAAACCCAACAAGCGGTTAATTTCTGCACTTGATCGATTAAGCTCATTAATGTTTCCAGTGATCTTAGGTTGTACTCTACGTATTGTGGCGTTTTTTTTATTTCCCAACGATATCAACGAGCAAATGCCAGATGATATCCTAAAAACATGCATGAACGCAAGAAACCACATATAAGACTCACTTTTTGTAATTTTGTAACCAATTATATAGAACATAAGTAACGAAAGTATGTTAGATTTCTAGACAATTAATTTTAACAGTTGTAATACTAGATTTCCAATTTTGTTAGTAAAAGCTCTTACAAATACCCATAAGTCCTCAAATTGACACATAAGCATAATTTCTATAAAATCATAGAATTGTTCTAACCATAAAAGTACATTTTTCTCTCAACATTGATTTGAACTTGAGACCTATTCTTTTTTTTTTTACATGTCAAATTATTGAAACAAACTAACATTTGATGTATTTTCATAAATATAAATAGATAATGTATCAAGATGTTAGAACTAAGAACATCGTCCTGAAGCTCTGCACATGGCTTAAATCAAAAGAGTAATAAGTGATCAGTGGTAATTGGTGCCGGTGGATATCAGTTAACTCATCCTTCTGTTCTAAACCCCACGAGATCAAGCGATGTTTTTTTTTCAAGAGATCAACCGATGTTATGACTGAAAGATTAATTATGCATGACTAAGTAACTAACCATACGGGAAAACTGTGCTTCGCTTGAAATAAACAACTATATAACAAACTTGAAAGTAGGTAGAGTCATTCGATTAACAAAGTGTGGTTGTACCATCGGCATGGAATAAAATGAACATAATCAAGCTCTCTTGTCTGCCTATGGATGCCCACTTTAGACTTATACATGATAGTATAACATTTGTTTTGACTTTAATTGTTAGAAACTCAATTAAGTGGGTAATAGTAAGAAGCAACAACTCCTCTTTCTCAGACCCTAACAAATCAACTAACCTCAATCTTAAACAACTTAAAACCTCGTCATTAGTTAATTAGCTTATAATAAACTGTTCCTAGTCAATCACTTCTTTAATACAATCACTATATAAACATTTGTCTATCTCCCATTTGTTTCCCACCAGAAGTACAAACCATTTCAACACACAAACATACACAGTTCTTCTTTATATTTAAATACCAGCTGCAAGAAAGAATGGCAAAAGAGTCTACCACCATTGAAGTCGGCGAGCCTAGCACCGTGACCAAAAGTTCAAGCCATGTCGTTGTGGATGAGAAGAAGAAAAAGGGCTTTGTAGCAGCCACCGCAGGAGGCGGCTACAAGAGAGGTTTGGCCATATTCGATTTCCTCCTACGTTTGGCAGCCATAGTAACCACTATTACGGCTTCCTCCGTCATGTACACCGCCGAGGAAACTCTTCCCTTCTTTACTCAATTCTTACAGTTCCAAGCTGGTTACGATGACTTTGCCACATTTCAGTAAGTCATTTTCCATTATCTTATCGCATGACTACAAATTTACATCATATTTTTACAAAATAACTGCGTATATATAGTATATCTCTAACCAGAATGAAACATACGTCTTTACTTTGTTAAACTTGTCCGGTTAGTGACTTAATGACATACATAAAGGTATATCGTTTTTGAAGGTTCTTTGTGATATCCATAGCCATGGTCGCCAGCTATCTCGTCCTTTCACTTCCCTTCTCCATTGTAACCATTATCCGTCCACTTGCCACCGCCCCCCGGTTGATCCTCCTCATCTCCGATACCGTAACTTAACTAACAAACCTATTCCAAATTTTTTATATAAAAATTATAAATTACATAAAAATTCATCCTCCTTTATGTTATGGTGAAGGTGGTCGTGACGCTTACCACATCAGCGGCAGCTGCTGCAGCCGCAATTGTCTACCTTGCCCATAACGGCAACCCAAACGCTAATTGGCTCCCCATTTGTCAGCAGTTTGGAGACTTCTGCCAAGCCGTGAGTAGTGCAGTTGTAGCCGCTTCTATAGCGGTTGTCTTCTTCATCCTTCTCATCGTCATCTCAGCCATTGCCCTAAAAAGGCATTAATTTTCACATTTTCTTTCTTGTAAAGATCGTAATGGACTTATAAATGTTCTTATTGTGCTTGTTTGTGAGTATCATGGTGTGGAAAAGTTATTGAAAATTATGTTTTATCGCAAAGCTTTTGATTCATCTAGAGGCTCTCAAATATTGATTACTATAAAACCTAAAAACTAAAAAGTCAACGAGACCAAAGACAGAACCCAACTAGTGTTCCAAACCCTAGAACCCCAAAAACGACACATAAAATGTCAAATACCAAATCCACCCTCAGCTTCTTCTCCTTCACCTCTCTCCTCTTCTCCATAAACTCTTCGTGTCTCCTCTTCGCTTCCACTTCCCTCCTTCTTCCATTACCCCTCTTACCCTCCATCACACTCCTCAAAATGACCAAACTGTCCTTCCCATTCAATCTCGTTCCCTCCACCTCCTCCACCTCAAGACTCACTTCCCTCACGTGCATCACCTCCTCCCCGCACGTGACAACCGTGATCACACACTCCACCGACCCCACCACCGTCGCGAACTTCGCCTCCACTTCACCGCTCAGCCAGCTCCTCTCCACGGACACCGCCCTGTGACTCGACAGATTCGCCGCACGCTTTCCGACCGGATCGATCACGATCCAGCTCAGAGTCAACTCCTCCTCTAGATCACGACACGTGTCCTCCGTCCACCGTCCTCGCTTGATAGGCGTCTCCACGGAGTCCTTCTCATCAACGAGATCGATTCTCAGAGGCGAGCTACGGAACCACTCCGTCGTGGTCTCCGTCTTCACGACTCTACTTAGAATCAGTTTCCCTCTGTAGTGAAGATCAACGGCGGAGATCAGTTCCGGAAGCGGACGGTGGGGATCAGAAACTGAACCGGGGGTGTCGAGAACGGAATACACGTCGGAGAAAAAAGAACGGTGATGGTCGGAGATGGTGGCGGTGGAAGGCCACGTGGAGGAGTTGATTTTGGACCAGAGGAGTTCGTTGGAAGCGAGCTTGTGAAGGTGTGTGGAGGCGCAGGAGACGGAGGCTAGGGTTGGACCGTCGAGGCGTGTGAGGATGTGAGTCTCTATGATGTCTTGATGGACGGTGGAGATTAAATTCGTTACTGTGGAGGAGGAAGAGCCCGCCATTTTCACGGTGTTGATTGTTGAGTGATTATTTACTAACTGCGAGTGATTGATTATTAGTTAATGATATTTGATTGATTAGTGAAGAGGGTTTATATAAGGGCAAGTTGACCTTTATCTAACGTCATTTCTTTAACTGCCCCCAAATTTTTAATTATTAAAAGAAATTAAAACTTACATAATTGAATAAATTAATTTTGGGACGTTGTAAATTTTTACATTAAAAAAGTCCAGGCAAAGAATAATTAGCTCAAAGCATCCACCACCACACATGCATTCAGTTTCCGGACAACTTGATTATTCACTGGAAAAGTGTGTGTATTCTATTCAAAATATAAGCTTGATGGTTATATGTTGTTTAAGATTTGGTATTTTAGATGTGTTTTTTTTTGGGCAAATTTTTAGATGTGTCTTGACAGTATATATATAATCCAACACATGAAATATCCTCCAAAATTAAGTCTATGATGAAAAAAAAAATGGTGGTGGATATAGAGCAGGAGAAAAGACGATTAATCAATTTTTAATGTCTTTGAATATTAGAATTTGATCATTTCTCACATGCTATCAACGTTAGAAACACAAAGATACATTCGCAAATAATGATGAAAACTGTAGAAAGTGTTGATGTAGAAAACATAGAGTGATGAAGATCAACTGATCAAATACACACAGACATATGCGACAATGTAATAATCTGTCAAAACAAATGAGGCAGACAGATACGTAAGAGTGCGGGAAAGGGTCAGGGATGGCCCATGTTGACTTCTTGTACATCTCTTAATCGATTAGATTATTACCACTTTTTATTTTTATCACCCGTATTATATGTTACATATACATACAAACATAAGCGACGATGTAATTAACTTGAATTAAACAATCAAGGTCGGCAAATTTTACTAGTAAATATAAGTAACGATAAGCATAGCAATGTTTATATCGTATAGGCAATTCTAAAATAAGTAAGTGCAAACCTGTATGAGATGTGAGACACACAAAAAAACACATATTTTTTTGTACAGCAACTTAAATTCATTAATGCATATATAGTAGATGAATAAAAATGTCCAGGTGAAACAAATGGAAGTATATATTAAATAAAAGCTGGTATATATGAAATAAGAATCTTGAGTCTAGGGAAATTTTAGGGAAAAATAACCAAAGTTTAATTAAGAGACAGAGATGGCAACGGTATACTATTTGCAGACATTTTTAAATGATTCCAGAAACAACAGGGAATGGGTAACCTTATATACAAGTTATAACAATAGATTAAAGGTTCCCTTAATTTGAATTAATATCTAAGATATCACCGTCGATTAGGTTAATACAGCTTTGTGTTTAATAAAATAATTGACTTTATGTAATAACCAAAAAGAAAAGGCTGAAGGAGAAAAGGAAAGGCCAACAATGATTTACATCAGCAAATAATTGATAAAAAATCGTATTGGCATTTTCTTAAATATATTAAACAAAAAATTTCGAATTAATATACTAACATGCATGTGTTTAATTAGTAAACTGCTAATTAAATGTAATAATCTAAAATAAAATTTTATAAGTTTGGACTATGTAATATTTTGTTATTGTTTGTGTAAAACAAGCTTAAAATTTTAGCATCATTAAAAATATATATATATTTTAAAGAATATAAAGACATTAATTGGTTGAAATTAATTGTGTGAATTTTCTATTAGTTTGTTGCTAATAACTTATCATTATTTATCTAAATAGATGATGCTATACTGTTTTAACAATTTTATTGCAGTGTTCGATTTTCAATAACATCTGTAATATATATAGTTACAAATTTAAAATACTTTTAATAAACATTAACATTTTTTAATAATGTTGTATGAACGCATTTGTATCGAGATCGATCTTCCTACTGAGGTTTTCGATTTGGTGTAGAAGTATTATACAAAAAAAAATATTTTGTGATTTTTAAAATTTAAGATTAATCCAAATCACATATTAGCAATGTTTCATCTTAAGTTTATAACTGAGGTTTTCGATTTGGTGTAGAAGTATTATACAAAAAAATATTTTGTGATTTTTAAACTTTAAGATTAATTCAAATCACATATTAGCAATGTTTCATCTTAAGTTTATAACTAACAAATGTTATCAGTTTTTTAACTTTAAAATATTATAGGAGTTTAGTCAAAGAAAATGTTATCCAAATTTCATTTGCGAGATATTAAAATAAACCGACAACATTATTGTATGTGTTTATTTGTCTCCAGTTCCTACTCTCAACCTAATTTTCCCCTTTGACAAACTATATCCACTGCATTTATACAGTCACATTAAGAAATGGGTTTCTTATATACAAACCAATGAAATCATTCCATATTATATTTCCGCCATTTCATATTAAATGCGTTATAGAAAAAAAAATTTTATTATAAAATAAATATTATTTTCGATTTTCAATACAAAATTTATTAATTTATTATGTAATTTATTTTTTTATTGGTTAAAATATTGTTAGATGTATAGATAATTATGTTTTTATAAAAAAAAATGTAAAATTAATTATTTTTTAATATGTGTATACAAGTCTAAAATAATACTTCTAATGAAATAGAGGGAATAATAGTTTTTTTTTGTGTGTTCGGACATAAACTGTCTTTTCTCCTGTGGAAATAATTACTCTATTTTATTTGATAGTTTTATTGTGTGCATTTTTATCCTTTACACAAATTTAAAGGCATAGAGTTGATCATCTTTTCTTCCTCTTTCTATTACAAAGTCTTATTTTCTTCTATTCGATCGGTTAGTTTTTCTATTAGATGTTGTAGTAAGTATTTTTTTGTTAGGCAACAGATGTCGTAATAGAAGCTCAAGATACCGTTAATCATCATAATGATTAGACACGTAGGTTTTATGAACTTTTCTATTTTTGTTGGGTTACCATTTTATGTTTAGTCAACAGAGAAAATGTATAACAATACCATCTCTGCATGTCACAAAAAAAGAAGGAAGCCCACTAATTGTAGATATTGAGCTTCTATTGAAGGATGTTAGGCAAAAAAAACTATTGAAGGATTAAAACGTCCAGTACTCTAATACAAAGAGTAAATTCATATTAATAACACTACTCTCTCTATTTCAAAAAGTATATGTTTCAGTTTTTACACATGTTAAGAAAACATATAAAATTTTGATTACCAATACACCATATTTTGTAGCTAATATTTTTTATAATTTTTAATTAATTTTAATGAACATAATTTCTTTGAAATTTACAGTTTATCATTAATTAATATATTGAAAAGGTAAAAATATATATTTTTGAAACAAATATTTTTTTCTCTAAAATATAGATATTTTTGAAACAGAGAGAGTAAATCCTAAATCGTACTACTAATCTCGTAGAAGATAAATCCTAAAATGTGTTGTTTAAATTATATACATACCATATATGACAATAAAAATTACATAATAGTTTGCAATAGCAAGAAATGGCCGTTAAGAAATCATAAAATGGCACCATGTGAAAAGTATATCATAATTAATATGTAAATTCGAATTTGAATCAGGTTCTTCTGGTTCCAATTCGCTAACCGGGACAGAATTGGACTCTTTTTTTTTTTTGGTCAAAAACAGAATTGGACTCTTATTTAAACTTATTTTCTAGATATTTCTGTAAAGATCGAGACTATATTTAACAGGCCTCAGTTAGGGTCCATGTATTAATCGGACAAAAGGTTTGGTCTGAAAATCTCATGCTGCTGGTTATATATATGTTTAAGTTGAGTACTTAACTCTTGTCCACAGCAACGTCCATATATTTGTAAAGATAATAGTAGTATATAATAACATTAATTCGTCTGTCCATATGGAGTGGAGTGTCTTACTTATTGAGTTTATTGACTATCAAGTTAATTACACTTTATCACAGCATTTGTTTAAGACATCTGATTTGTGTCAGTATACTCTCCATTATTCTTGCCATAATTCTCTGTATTTAAAGCAATCTTGCATCTAAGTGCATTGAACTTGCATAGACATCTCATTTCTCTACTTACGAATACATGTTTACTATTAAATCCAGGTGTGCCAGGCACCTACCAAATCAAAACTTGGATTCTTTGTCTAATTTTTAATTATTACATAATTAATTTTCATAATCAAATGTCTACAAATACCGTACGTGTATATGTACACAAGTGTTCATGCACACTGTAAACATACTTAGACGTAGGTGTACGTTGTGGCATGTGGGCATAGTCTAGATACTTCTCTCACATAATGTATTTTCGTCACTATGTGTTTGAATTATGGTGCTTTATATTTATACCAGATACTATGAAGATCAGCGTAACCTAATTTTAACCGAAATGCTTAATTAGTTCATTGTGAATCGAGTCGAAGCCGCTACCGTTTGGCTGCTACCAAATTTAAACGGCGTAACAAAAACTATTTTACTGGTGAAACATACTAGAACATAAGAGCATCAACGTTCAAAAAATCTCTCAAAATCAGTTTTTCATAATTCAATACTAACAGAAACTGAGATTAAAAACAAAATTGTATAGGAGAAAAACTGGACCAGTAAGAACTAGTCAACATTTAAATGGCTTCTCAATAAATATTAGAGTATCTTGTATGAAAATTTGTTTTTCTCCTCTTTTCTTTTTTTTTTCTTTTATCTCTCATATTTTCATTTATTTATTATTGAAATGTTAAAAGTTTATTCCGATACTTAATAATGAATATGTCTACATAAATCTTTAACAATTATTTTAGAATAATCTTTCAAAATTAAATTAATGAATAAAATAAGAATAAAAATATAGAAAATGATGAAACACAAGTAAAAATTTCTCATTTAAAAACTTACAAATTTAGAACTCATATAAAATTTGTTTTCTTGTTATTAGTCTATTTTAGTTATTTAAATTTAATTATAATATTATATTAATATTATACCATGAGAAATTTTAGTTAGACAATATAAGAATACTAATGCTCTAAGAACTACTTATTAGTTAACGCTAGGAAATAGTTTTTTGTTTTAACCTTTTTCTTTTTGCAGTGACTCTGTTACTTTTTCTGATAACATAAAGTATTTGGTTTTCTGAGTCATCATACAATC